TGTCATTTTTCTTATGGGTCTTTTAATGGCGAAGTTTAAATTTTCTTGGGAGCATTAGTAATTTAATGTTTAGATCCACTAGGCTATTATGTAAATAATGATAACTTCTTGTCCCAGAAATTCATACAAACACTATATAGTTCAATAGGAAAATCTATAATTAAGCAAATGAATGTTTTAATTTGAATATTCTTTATAGTTTTCCTGATGAAATTGTTTTCTTAAATTTTAAGAATTTGTTTGAAATTTCTCAGTTGAAAAAAAATAATGTGAATGTCATTTTGTCAAGCAAGAGAAAATCAAATCAAAGTGTTTATGCGTTCAAATCATTCATTCCTGTTTACAAATTGGGCAATTTGAAAAAAATGGAAGTGCTTTTCATCAAGAAGTACAAGTCCACAGAATTCTCTGATTGTGCAAGAATAAAAAAGTGAGAAGAGCACAGAGTTGTGAAATTTTTCATTTTGATGCCAGTTTTTCAAATGTTCCGTCTTGTGGGTTTGTGTGTCAACTTTTCATGTCTCTCCAAATAATGAGAACAAATTAAAAAAAGTAATCTTAAAATTCCGTCCATTTCATTCGTAGTTTCTAATTGAAGTTTATCTGAAAAACTCAATTTTGTTTACAAACTTTATTCCAAAGAAGATGAAGTATAAGCAAAATATATTTTGTATGGTTTGTAATGATAGCCTATGATATTAACAATTAAAAATTATATGAACAAGAGAAAAGTGAAATATGAAAGAGAGAAAAAAAAAAAATTATATTCCCCAGGTAAAAATGTCAAAGGACACAAAAAGAGAAGTTTAAATGGAGTGGAGAATGTGACAAGAAAAAATAATAATAGTTTCCATGTAAGAACTTTTTCAATGCTGTGAATATTTGATAAACACAGCATTAGGAAGGGGGATTTATTTATTTATTGGTTTACTTGTTTCCGCAGGTTAATCTGGATAAGAAATGATTCTGATAGTTCTTTGATTCAATTTCTGAATAATGCATTGTAGTGACAGTTTGGAAGTGAGTATAAAATCTACAGGATGCCATTCTCTTGTCTCTCTGTGAAAAAGAGTGCTTCTTCTCCAAGAGTGTTCGTGTTCCGTTTTTGACAGCACAATACCCACACTGCAGGAAACCTATTGCTGGCCCTGCTTGACTTCCAGTCTTTCAACTTGGCTTCCCACACAAGTGACATTTCAAACTCGCGACAGGTAAAGGTTCAGCCAAAAAGAACTGGTGAGAAAGCAAGTGTTGTCTTCTTGTGCAAATATTTCTGATTTTTTTTAATTCTCTGTGTCAATTTCATTTTGGTTCAGAATGCCAGCAAAAAGACAATACTGAATCAATCTCTCTCTCTCTCTCTATATATATATATATATATATATTTCATTGAATAATTTACACAGGTTTTGTCTGCTTATTTTCTTTCATATTCAAAGACAAGATTTTTGGTGTCATTATTAAAGAAAGAGAAAATCACCATGTTGATACATATTATTTTATTCTGAGTACTTTCAACATAGCACAATGTCATCATCAGGGTGTTGTTTATTTCAAGATAAACATTGTTGTGTTCGTCATTTTCAAAGACAAAATTGTTGTGTTCATCTGAAAGTTAATTTTTTTTTTTTTTACTTTCAGCTGAACGAATGTTTTGGTTTCAATTTGAGGACAGTGCAGAGGATTTGGAAAGAGATGAATGATACATCCTGCCAATATCATGGAGTGATCACTAGTGATGGTAAGTTATGTCTCCATTCATCTTCCTGCAGGGCCTCAAACTCAATGCAGATACTTACATCAAGTGCCTTGAGGAAGTAGTACTGCTCTGGGTCAAGAGGGTGGCTGTCGGAAGACCTTATGTCTATCAACATGACTCTGAACAATGTCACACAAGCAGAAGAACCCAGTCATGGCTGTCAGATAATTTCTGCGATTTCATCACCCCTTACATCTAGCCACCTAACTCCCCGGATTGCAACCTCCTTGATTACTATGTGTGAGGCACATTTGAGCAAGGGACCAACAAAACTCCTTCTAATATCAAAGATAACCTGAAGGCAAGGATTATTCCAGCATTCACCAACCCAAACAAGGAGACAGTCCAGAAGAGATGCAGGAGATTCCAAAGTCATTTGGAAGCCGTGGTTGAAGCCAATGGTGATTTTATTAAATAAATTTACTTTTTAGTATTTCAAGATATTTTTGTGCAATTTTGGTAAATATATCTGTTAAAATGAGATAACAGTGTTATTTTCATTTGTGTGTAATTTAGATGACAAATTATCCATCACAATTTGTATGTATATACCCGGTTGGATGTATATGTATTTACAGGAGTAAACATAACAAACACATTACTTTTTTCAATAAACTGATTTAAAATCCAACACCAAACAGTTCTTATATATATATATATATATATATATAACAAACAGGAAGAAAGACATACAAACAGACACTCACTTGAGTCTGCCTGCGATAAGCTGATTTACAGACCCTGTTTATCCTCAGAGATCCCAATGCAGTTTTTCTCTACATGCAATTTTAACTTTCTTTCATTCTAACCTGAAGAAGCCAGAGAGAGCAGACACTCTCTGTGAAATGCATTATTTATAGATATTCCACTTCATCTCATCATCTTCAATTTTGTTTCAGGTAATATTATACATCCTACAAGAAACATATTGAAGTGTACATATAAAAAAATAATATGTATAAAATATTTGAAGCATAATTTCTAGGGCAAATTGAGCACTGCAAAACAGTTCTAAAATCTTTCGCACAATTTTAACACCTTTTAAGAACAGGGAGGCTATAAAATCACCACTACTAAGATATGTATTTGACTTACACAGCAAAGAAAATGAAATGAGGCAAAAACATTTCAGTAATCAATAAACAAAAAATTGTTTTTATTAATTTGATCTTTTCCCCTCAGGATCTGATGGCTCAAACATTGGTGGCTTTGGGGTCTTTTAAATTGATTATATATATATATATATATATATATATTATATATAAATATATATTTTTTACTAAATACCATCATCATTAAAGATTTATGTTTGCTTTTTCTTCTATCTCTTTACTCCTCTTGAATATATTTTACTTCTTCAAAATATATTTAAGTAAAGCTACAGCTTGTGAGATCTTACTTTGTCCACATAGGTGTATAATGAATTTGAATTTGAGTACTGACTTGGGCAATCTACTACATCATCATCATCATCTTGAAAATTTCTAAGCATGCTTAAAAAGTGCTCAGTTGATGATCTTAAGATGAAACTTGTGTCACAAGAAAGCTACATTGTTTTTACATTCTTATCAGGATCTTGATAAGCGAAAGTATCACCATCATCATAGCCATGATTTTTTGTTGAGGCAGGACAAGAATTAATCTTGCACAAAGCATGTTGGGTCCTCTCTGACAGAAGATCTCAGGTTACCTCAACATACTCGGAGTGTCATAATAATTTGAGGCAAAGTTTTACGTAGCTTGATGTTCTTCCTGACACCAGAACTCAGACACTAATGGAAGTCCAAGTACATTGAGTGGTTTTTATTGAAACACCATCTCTAGGAAGACTGCCATTAGAGGCTTGAGGCCATATCCTAGCCATATATATATATATATATATATATATGTGTGTGTGTGTGTATATATATATATATATATATATATATATATATATATATATACACACACACACACACACACACACACAGGGTATATCAAAAATGCTTTTACATACTTTGGAGGCAGGTTCCTCATACCAAAACAAGGACAAAAGTCCATGTAAAGATATGTCTGCAAATGCTTCAATTTTGAGTTAAGTTTAAAGAAAATTAATCACATGTAGACTAGGTTACATTTGTCATTCATGTACATTTGTGGATAGACTGTTTTCAATGTTTACCTTTTGTTTGTTTTGTTAACTGAGAACTGTTCTGTTTACTAATGGCAGAATATCTAAAGTTTGTAAATGTATTTTTGGATTGTATCATGGATTATACATTTAAAAATGTCTACCATAAACTTTAAACTTAATAACTCAAAAAGAAAGGATTTGTGGGCATATGTTTATATGGACTTTTGTCCTTGTTTTGGTGTGAGGAACCTGTCTCCAAAGTTTGTAAAGGTATTTTTGATACACCCTCTCTCTCTCTATATATATATATATATATATATATATGCGTTTGTGTGTATATATACATTATATATATGTACATGTGTGTGTGTGTGTGTGTGTATATATATATATATATATATATATATATATATGCATGCAAAATTTCAGATATAGTTAAAAATAATAGTGCCGTCAAAACCACCCATTAGGTGGTGCTATTTAAGTCTGTAAAAGGCAAACATATTCTCTCTTTTTCATCTTGCTTCCAAATGTAGTCAAACATAGATAAAGAATGCAGCCACTTTTCATTTCTTTGGCCCTGTGTTGACTGAACTTTCAAACATATATATTGCACAAACATATTGCACGTGCACACACAAACAAACAAGCAAATTCTTATAGCTAGTTTAAATGCCTTTTCCTCTGATTTATATTGTGTACACATCTAATTCCATTTATTAATAAGATGCATTGTAGTTTGTTTTAAATTCCATTTAGCTAGACTCACATGTTTCCTCCAATATTTTTTGTAGGATAAATATTCCAGGAGCCCATAAATATACTATATAATGTGCACACGCTAATATCATAAAACGTCCATACACCTTGCAACAAGTAATAAAAATTTTTCATCTGTATAAAAGGGGTGTGGACTTTTGTCTGTATTTACTTATCTTTAATGAAATCCAAACAATTAAAAGTTACCATGTAAACTGTTTGAATTTCATGAACAATGTGCAACAGATATTGCAAAGCAGAGCTGAAAAATGAACACTAATGACAGACTGTCAATTGTATTAAAAGAGATGAGGTAGTACATGAAATGTTTCTTTAGAACACATTTCAAAATAAGATAAGCAAACTTACCTTGTGTGATTTGAGATACTCCACAGAACAGGGTAATATTGCCTTTCGCCCAGCCACAACTGTAACATTCCGTGCTGGTACAATAAAACTCGGCTCTCTTGGAGTCTCGGCCACTAAAAAGAAGTAAAAATCATGATATTAAAAATATTTCATCAACTTAAAACTTTAAAAAAGAAATAAAATATATGCTTATGTAACAAAAGAATATCTGGAAAAAATAAGAATAAAACCCCACCCTAACCTCAAAAAAAATTAACAATCAAAATTCTTTAAATTGGAAATCCAGCCTCAAGAATTCTTATTTCACACAGTTTTCAGCTAGTATCCTCATACTTGTTGTTTTTATGGAAATATTTTCTTTGGCCTTTTTCAGATTGACGTTGCTTCTAATTTTAAAAAAATTATTGTTCCTCTTTTCTAGAAAAACCTTGAAAAATTCAAAGTTCATACGTTAGACAACTTTAGACTGTGCTGAAAAGAAAGTACTGAGCAATTTCTTAAAACCACCAAATATTACATATACTTGAAGAAGGCCTAAGAAAATATCTACCAATGCATTTTATTAAAAGCAGCAAAGGTGAAAAGAATTTCTGGGATGAGGGTTTATTATTATTTACATTATTTTCACTCAGACTAATATCCTCATCTTTGTTGTTCTTATCACATTGTTTTAGCCATTGCCAATCCCAATCTTTTTCCGGTGATTGTCAATCTACATACCTTTCAGAGTATTTTGAATGGAAACTTTTATTTAATCTATGAAGGTGGATTGTTCTCTTTTCACTGTATGCTAGTCCAAGTATCTCGGTGTGACTCCCAGGACTTATCATCTGCTTGATTCTTCAAATTTGAAAAAAAATTAACCACATTCTTGATGCCCAACCATGATGTTCCTACACATCTTTTGTACATGAAAAGAGATTGACATTATGCCAACCACTAGCTGATATATTTAAGTGCTACAAGTCTGGCAAAAGACAAGCAAATTTGTTGTATTGATTGGGATATTTTCTGTGAACAAAACATGCACATTAAACTCGAAAACCATGTAAGTCAAACCTTCTGTATCAGCAGGGCATTTTTTATTGAGGGAGGGAGCAGCACAAAATAACAATGGGTACAAATATACAAAGCCCAATATATCCATCTTATCATCCAGTCTCATAAGGAGGAAACTGATGGAAAATAATAATAATAATAATAAAAATATGTGCAATTTTTTTTTCAAAACTGCTCAGTGGAAAATGTCATGATGCCATTTCAGACCTTAGGTCTCTGGTTGGGATCCAGAAAGAAATGAGTATACACCAGAAAACAAAGGAACTAAAACAATAATAATAATAATAATAATAATAAACTGATTTATGCAAAGATTTTTTTTCCACATTGTTATGGTCTAGTTCCTTGTATCACGGGGATAGTCCAAGGTAGAACTAATAAAGAAGAACTCGATGGAATAACACAGATATATTGCAAACAGCAATATATACAGAGAAGTAGAAAGTGTTAGTACGAACAATCAGGTTTAGTAGTAATTGTCTGAACACGAATCTATTTTGGACTGCCTCTGACTCGACTCTTGACTCGACTGACTCGCTCGCTCACTCTGACTGACTGACAGACCTCACTTCAGACTGAACTCCCTGCTTCCTCTTGAGGCGCAGTATTTATTACCTATGGTATGGTCCCATAACACACATACTGGTAGTTATTGACACCAAAGTTTGAATATTCTACTCTGGAGCCTACTTTACTTTTCTATCTGTTGAAACTTGAATAAAGCATGGAATAATAATAATACAACACAAAATGTACTTAAACAAAATGTATTGAAACAAGAAAGTGTACACAATATTTACAGAGAGTTTTGGTATATTCTTGGGAAGACTGTTCCTGTAGAATGGGTTGACTTAGTCGCAGTCGGGCAGAGTCTCTGGATTGGATCTCTTCTTCCTCCCCCGTCTTCCCGGTACCAACCATATTTATATGGTCGGTACTCCACTATGTAAATTAGGTGGATCGTACCACAACACTATCATTATAAACAACTTTTAGCAATCTTGGTCTTTTGTTCAAATCGACAGACACCTGAAGAAGGTTGGTGCTTTTGGGCTTCTCAGCAAATGTAAAAAATTAAAAAAATTATATGGGGCTAAACAATGCAAAAACAATCTTTGAAAGGAAAGGACTTTAAGATTTGATCCTTCTGTGGTTTATTAAATGTCATTTATATTCGGTCTAATATCCTCATCTTTGTTTCTATTGTCATAATTTCAGTTATTGTACATTCCTATCTTTTTACGGTGCTTATTAAGCTGAGTAATATTCAGGCATTTTTTAAATGAACCCTTTATTTATTCTACTGTCCATGACTAGGGGTATCTCATCTTGGAGTAGAGGTCCATGTTGCTTCCAATAATCTTCATTTCAATTATTTTTAATATATTCAACAAAAAGCTTGACAAATTCAAGGAGCTGGGACTTCATGTCATTAATCAAGTTATTTAGATTGTGATGTTCATGTGGAGAAAAGAAATAAAGTACTGAGCAAATTGTTAATGTAGGGCATGAAGAGTGGTAACACTTATGTACATGGCATAGTGGGTTTTTACTGTAAAGGTCAGAACACGGGGGACTAAGAAATATAGCTCATCAAAACCTTTAACATGGAAATAGTGATAGAGTAGTTATAAGCTTGTGATATTTTGCTTGTTGCAAAGGGGTGGAGATGGTCTATGTAATTGGTTGTGAACTTTTGAAGGATGAAACAAAAATATTGGACAGCTCCATCATAGATATGGCAGCAATACCCCATTTTTGGTCTGGTCTGATCTGACTTTTGTAAAGATAGAAAGACAGACAGAATCAGGTACATTCTGGAGTGGTATAAAGAGCCAAGCATTTTTTCCATTGTTTTTAGTCATTTTTTTCTATTGTTTTTATACAATTCCCCGTTGAGTTACTGAAACAGGTTCATAACTTTTATGATTATTTTATTTGTGCAAAATGTTATTCACTCTTTCCCATAATTGAACTTTTCACCTCCCAGGTTCATTAACATCTTGGAACAGCCCACTATTGCCATCAGAAACCATCGCCTGATGTTACCAAGGGAAATTGAGAAGACTATAGTACACCTAAAGGTCGGACATATTATAGACAAAATAATTATTGGCACATTATATAGCAACTAGTGTTCTTGTGTTGTCAAAAATGAGGACAATTGTTAGAAAGGTTTAATAAAGTAATGCAATGAAACAAAGTATTGAGATTCAATAAAGCGGAAATAAAGATTTTGAAGCCAATAAACCATTTAATTAATCTATTCCATTTATATATTTTAGATGTTCAAAGGTATCTAAGATTCATTGATTACTCCTGGCATATAAGAAATTGATTTTTGCTCAATAACTTTTCATATTACAAATTTTATGTGTTTAATATAACAGTAAAATGGAAATATCTCTTGAAAGAAAAAGATTAGCAGCAGAATGACAAAGATGGTGACAAAAAAACATATTTCAAGACCAAGCTGAAGCAAGATGATCATTTAATAGACAAAGGAATCTGAATGCTTCACATGAAAGGCTTGAACAAACATGGGTGTAATCTAAGAAATGTAAGAGTAACAGAACCAACTGATTAAATGGCTAACTTTACTTGGAACTAATTCTCTCTAAATGCAGATAATAATCTATACAAATATTTAAAAAGACTAAGGGAAGTAATCATTCATAACTTTACTAATTTTATTTACCTCCCTTTCCACTACAGATGGTACAGAAAATGTATAAATAAATACACAAGTCACTCATATCTAATTTGGATTGTTTTTCTTTCTGAAAAAAATAAATGCCCTCAAAAAAAATAAATAAATAAATAAAAAATAAAGGCATTTTTGATACACCAAAAATTCAGTCTCTATCTTGCTATTGTGTGAGCTATATCAGTCTGTTCACAATCACAAGACCCATAACCTATTAGGTTCATAGAGGCACCACATATACTGCAACCACAGCAGCAGCAGTGTGTCCTGGGCAGGTTGGTTTTGAATTCAAAGATTTTCCTTCTCCTAGACAACTTGCCACCGAGGGCTATAGAACCCAGTCTGTTCTGATATTTTACCCATAGCTGTGGGAGAAGGGTATTATCACATAAGTGAATGCAATGAACTTGACTGGAATTCAAACTTAGCTCTTCAATTCCTAAATCTGAGCTGCTATCCATTATTTCACTAAAGTCGGTTTAGTTAATAATTTAAACATTATTTTGAATATTTTAAATTAAATTTTAGGATTTCAAATGTTGGATATTTAATTTAGTCTTTGCCTAATATTTCAATATTAATAAGATGTGAAAGCTTCTGAACATGGTCATTGTTTGAAAAGAAAAGTTAAAATTTCAAACTTTTATAAAACCAGACAAATATCCATTTTTCTAAAGAAGGAGAAAAAGGAATTAGAAAAAAAAGAAATCTTAGCCCATTTTTCATATTCTTTATTCAAGACCAGCCTGTCTACAATTCCCAAAACTAATGTTCATTTTAAATATTTGAAAGAACTTTTAATAACTTTTTGTTATATCTTTGAGTCATCATACAATATACAATGATCAAATGTGTCTGTCAAAACCGTTAAATCCTTAGAGATTGTACAAGTTAAAAAGCCTTCTTTCTATCAACTTGGCTGAGAAATATTTTTTTTTTTTATCACAATATTAATTTTATAATCAATAATTGGTAAGTTTTATTAAAAAAAAATATAAACCTTAAAGTTTCCAAAACTTTCTTGAAGAAAAATATATACAATTTATAATTTCATACATATTCTGCTAAGAACTGCTGCACTGCTAACAAAGGCTTCAACAGATGACAACACTGGGTGTGAGCATAGTTTGGGGACCAAAGCATTATTACCACATACTCAGAAAAGATCAGAAACATTTAATTTATGAAAGCACTAGGCTTTGTTGATTTTTTTACCTTATAATCTTGGATGACAATGATAATGTTCAGTGACTCTGAGAGTGACACCATTGAGAGGTCTAAATTCCAGGTGGGGCCACTCTTGGCAGCAAGGTTGAAGATGAGGACCCAGACTAATTGCAACCAACCGAAAACCCCAATGGTAGAACAAACGAATGACAATTACAACAGATCTCAATGGCTGAACTAGCAGATGATGAGGGCTAAGCATGTTCAACATGTTACGAAAGGTGCCACTCGGAATTATAGTCAGTGGCAGTCTGTTGCAGTTTTTTAACTAGATTCCGCATGTCTCATTCCATATGTACTGCAGAGGAAGATCATGGAATCAAGTGTATGAGTCACTTCCAGACAAGTTGCTGTCCACCTCAAAAAAATTCACATCATCAGCACTTTCGTCTACTCTGATTTTCTTTCACCTCCAACCAATTCTTTAGGGAATGGGTTAACAGGAGCAGGTTTTGGTGGAACTGGAAGTTTCTAGTCCTAAACCTGCATGTTGACAATGAATTTAATCATGAAGGAAACAATCAATAAAGAAGAAATTAAATTCTTGGATACAAGATAAAGCTGACAATGATGAGTGTGAGAATGCCAAATTAAAATTTCATTTCAATATATATTGTTGAATTCACAACTAAAGAGTCTAATGATGCAAGAAATAAATGCTCCTTTGAGTTATAAAACTCTAAGTCTTATTAAGCAACTGCATCCATTAATTTTGTAACCTAGGGAAGGTTACTGAATAGAATAATCACATGAAGGTTGGTAATGAGTGATAATACTTAGGACAAGAACAACACATAAAAGATTAACAAGCAGTGCAGAGAAGTAGTATTCAACTGCTAGAAGCAAGTCAAGTGAAATCCACAATGAATCTCCAACTGCAGACCAACATACAGTATTTACTATTGTATTTATGTGAATGGGGACATACCCATTATCATCTGTAGGTATGCTACAACAATTAATAACCTGTAGCTCCATATTTGGTACAGGCTTTAAGCAACCATTTGTAATAATTGGTAAAACCAGCATTTTAATGCAAATTCTTTATTCTGTTAGAGGGTGGGGGAAGATATCTGAAAATCTGTAGCTTTATGAAAATGGTTTAAAGTAGATTCATTAAGTCATTCCTTGTTTTTCAACACTGAATAAATATTTAGATTTTATACTTTATTCCGTCATCACAGTCTGTGCCAACAAATTCATTGCTCAATTTTCAAGTGACTGTTTATGTTGGCAATCAAATTCTCATCTCTTCATCAATTCAACTGAGGATAATGAGAAAACGGGTTGGTCAAAAACACTTTCACTGAAAATTAAAAGATATCTTCTTAAACGATCACAGAGATTCCAATACTATCTCGGCTTGCAAAATCAGAGAAATAATTCCAAAAATGGAATTATCAATTTATTATCATAATCTCTTGAGGCAGAATCTATTTCTAAAAATGTTTTTAATAAACTTATACAACACCATTGATTATTTTTCCCCACTCTCAAGTGAGTAAAGAGATTTATCTTTCTATGTTAAGGAACTATACGACATTGAATTCATTGGCTTGAAAGTTTGGTATCTTGAAAAAACATTATTTTACATCTTAAAAAAATGCCTTCAAAGTATGATGGGAAAAGATTTAAAAACAATATTTTCTACTAACTAGATATGTCAATTGAATAACATTACCAAACACCAAAATATTTTTATATTTCTAAGTTCTTTTTAACAGTAGCTGCTCTACATGAAGAAAACATACCTAATAAATTTATAAGCATTTGATTTGATTTTGATTTGTCTGTTCAGTGGCATATCAACACCTTATGGGTCATTTAATGCCAAAATTTAATTTTCTTGGAAGCTTGCAAGTAATAAAAAAATTATTCTACTTTCACAATTGAATACATGGTAGATGATACTCAGGTTTTGTGTTGATATGATTACTATAGGCAGTGATATGTGTAATTTATGTGGTAGTTATATTGAAGTTATATTTAATACAGTTTGATTTCTTTCAGAAATAGGATATTATATGGATTAATGTTATGAAAGAGTTCTTTCATGTTAGTTACTTGGTAGTATTTTAAACGGATTTGGATAAAGTCACTACAATTTGCTATAAATATGTATCATCTGTCCTTTTTATATAAAAATGAACTGCTGGTATTTTTACTATAAAAATATATGTTTATGCTTTCATAATGTTTCTAAAGAAGGATGCTAAGGATATCATGGACCGAGCATGTGAGCAACAATGAGGTCTTAGAGAAAATGCAAACAGGGAGGTGGCTTATACTTAACATCAGGAAGAGGCAGCTGAAGTTCCTGGGACACATAAAGAGGAAGGACAGCCTCAAGGGTCAAATAGAGGGAAAGAGAGACAAGGGAAAACAATGCATGACATACCTAGTGGCCTTACGCAAGTGGATGACAGAACATGGTCTGGGGGAGGTGACAGAGGGAAGGAACTTGTTGAGTGCTGCAAGGGATAGTGGGAGGTGGAGAGCCATAATTGCCTACATTCTGAAAGGACATGGCACATAGAAAGTAGTGTTTTGTTTGGGAATTCATTATTTGCTCATAGCTGGGACATGAATAGGTACTACCACCCTGGGTCAAGGTGGACCTGGAAACAACAGCAATTAAGAGTTGGTTCCAGGCTCCTCAAAACCTCAAATCTCCTGATCAGAAGCCTTGCTGCTAGATGTAGTTTATCATCATACCCAGGACTATTATTAGTATTAGGTTGAGTCATAAGTAATTTCCATTTTAAGGAATCTCAGTATATATTGTAGGAGCACCAGACTAGATATAACAGATTTATAAATGTGCATGATGGATTCTGATGATAGAAACTGCCAGGCATGAAACAATAAACTAACTTACCTAACCATAGACCTAGAAATTGATTCAATATAATAATCTAGCTCATGTCAGAAAGAAGCCCAAAAAGGTTCAATGAGTTGCTTTCCTGGATGTTAGTGTCAATAAAAATATCTTATATTGATGGATGGCTGAAAAGGTTCTCTATGGTAATTAAATTAAAGCAGTTTTGTTTTGGAGGCATTTAAATTTATAAGCGATTCCTTACCCCAGTTAACAACTGATTCAAGGTCATTTTCAAGATCAGCTACCAGTTTTACTTTGACAAGAGTAAATAGCAGTGTCATAAAAATAAATATCTAGTTGTGAACTGATGACATCAGGAAGGTCATGGATAAAAATAAGGAACACTGTAAGTTCATGGATAGAACACTGGGGATGCCCCACCCCTGCATTAATGTTAAATGGTCTAGAAACCTTCATAACATCATTTATTAAACAATGATGAGATTAAAACAAATATTTGTCCAAAGACAATGTAAGCCTTGAGCTTGTGGAGAAGACCAGCATATCACAACCTGTCAAATGCCTTCACTATTCTTAAAAAAACACAAAGACTTTATATAAGATAAAAGGTTTTATATAGTTAAAAATATAAAAGATGGGGTTAAATTTTTTATTTAATTTTAGTTTTGCAGTCACAGGAGAATTTTAATAGTTGTCTGTGTTTTTTAAGACAAAAATATTTTATATATTGTAAAATACAGGATTTGGTTAAATTGTCAACAGAAAAAAGTCGGGATTTTTTTCTTCAGTGGCATGAATCTATCTGAAGAAAACATTAAAAGAAATATTTTGACTTTTTGAAATATAATTCTTAGATATATTGTTGGAATTAAAAGCAGTTTTACAGGAGTCATAAATCAAAGTAGGAATTCAATAAAAAATGAAAAATGGTAAATTGAAGATGATACACTGTAACAACATCCACAGTAGAGAGTGAAATTGGTAGATTATTTAAATCTTTTAGCAATTAACCTATGATAAAATGTCAGAAAATAAATCAATATAAATGAAACCCTTTGAGAGACAGAGAAAAAGAAAAATATTATTTTACTATCAACTGCAAGAGCAATTTTAAAAAAATACTGATGATATAAATTGATTCTTAGTTGACTTTTGTTTGCTCACCAAAGAATCTGTGTTGTTATTTTTATTATAATAAAAAGAAAAAGCCAAACAAAACAAAAAAACCAACTCTTTAAAATCATTAGAACAGAGATGGAATAAAACATTCATTTTTTTCTTTCCACAAAATATTATAATGACCTTTCACTTTCAGATTTAATTCATTTTATATGTCATTTTATTTATTTTTTTTTGTTTTATGGTTCAATTTTTTAATTTACTAATACTAAACCTGCTACCTGTATAAAAAAAGAAAAAAAAATCATTTGGTTGATTATGCATTGCATGTAAACCAGAAATTCACTGACAGGAATGACACTTGCATCTGAAGAAGATCGAAGAAAAGAATGCAGGAGAATAAAAGAAAAAAAAAATTCCATTTTGCTACTCACTTCTCTCAGCTTAATAAGCTTACAAAAAAAAAAAAAATGGAAGAATAAATTTTACTTCCTGTAAAAGAGAGAAAAATCAAATCTGACACAAGTGCAGAAATATT